GGCAGCTGCTCCTGAAAAGTCTAATGATCAGCTTGACATATGTGGAGGAATAGTTTGATTTAATGTTACCCAGGATCTACAAAACCGCAAGCCAAGAATCAATGCAATGCTGCTCAAAGTTGGTAATGTGCTTGGAATTGCTGGCAGAAAGAACATAAATCCATGCCTCAGAAATGCACCCTCTCCCACGTCCTCGGGATTCTCCCTGATAAAGTCCTGCCAAACAAGAGCAGAGCTTGTTCCTCGACATCTGTTGCAGCTCAAACTATAAGGCAAAGGAGGAAACAAACCATGAGCAAAAGTGAACAGAAAGGAAAAGTTGGAGTGCCACCAAGAAGTACAATTAGGTGCAGTGTATAAATGGTTTAAATATTAAAGGACAAAATGTAAAATCCAAACCAGAAGAGGACTAATCACATTTGAAAATGGACTAGAAAGAACTGAAAAATATTAAATGAATTCCTAACCAGGAGATTAGACACAGCTAAAAAAAAAAAATAGTTAACAAAATAGAAACCAGATCACCTAGGACTCTGAATCCAGAAAACACAGAAACAGGAAAGAAAAGCTAGACATGAAGATGGAATAAAAGGATGTAGCATGCATATACATAAGGAAAATGAAAACACATGGGCATAGGAAATTTGGGAGAAAACAACCAGACAATGGCTCAGAATTTTCTAGAATAAAGATATGAATCCAACTTCATAAAGGACAATAAACTCAAAGCAAGTGAGGAAAGCAGCTCACAGTCAGACAATTTATACAAACGAAACAACTGTGAGAGAAAATACATAAGCACCTTTTTAAAGGCAATTAACTTGTTAGTGTTTTATTTTTTAGATAATGTGTCTGTGTGGGTTTGTAGACATGAGTATAAGCACCTCCTGAGGCCAAAAGGGAACACTAGATCTCCTGAAGCCTGAGTTACAGGTGCTGTGAGCACCTGAACACTGGGATATGAACTTAAGTCCTCTGCAAGAGTAATATATTTTTTTTATTTAGCTTTTTATTTAGCTTTTATCCTTCTCTCATACACTACATTCCAACCACAGTTTTCCCTCCCCCCACATCCTCTCTTTCCCGTATCAACTCCTTCTCCATTTCCCTTCAAAACAGGAACAGGCCTCCCAAGGCATCCATAGAACATGGCCTAACTAGTTACAATAAGACTGGGAACAAAGCCTCAGATCAATGCTGGATGAGGCAACCCACTAAACCATCTCTCCATCTCCATGGGAAAACAATTTTAACAGTCTAATTTTATTTCAAAGACTTATCAAAAGCAGAGGAAAAAGAAAACAGGAAAAAATGACATAATTTATTTTAAAAGTAATGGCAAAATTCACTGAGTATTTTATACCCAAGCCAACATTAATAGTAAGAGAGAGAGAATTCTGTAAGAATCTAGGTACCGGCACTAGAGAAGCCACCTTTCTTCCACGTGGAACCTGAGAATGTAACCACACACAGGGAATCGTGTGCTGGTGACACTCCAAGCTTCTATATGCAGCCAACCTTAGTCTTAGATGCTTGGTGTATCTCATCTCCAGATAGTTTTTAAACTAAAATGGAATATAGACAGTGCTTCTAACTGAGTGGCCATGACTGGGGTCACTCGTCCCATTTTGTAGACAGGTTAAAACAGTGTCAATATTTGCCACCATTGACTAAATACAACTACTCTTATCTCAATTACACTTGATTTTTCATGATTCCAAGTCTAAGTTGACAAGAAACATCTTTTGCATGTAACTGGGGTTACTGTGGCAGTATTACAGGCACTGCCAGCCCCTTATAGAAACTTTGGACAGGATTGCATAAGTGGAAACCTCTTCCTTAGAGTAGACCACCCACATTATCAGAAATTAACCTTTAAGCTCTTCATCATCCTAAAGCCTGCAGATAACTAGAGCAATGGTCAATAAACTTTGCCTATAAACCCACAAATATGTTCTATATAGTGGTGTATGGGTGACTCCTCCATGAAAATCCAATTTTGTCTGTCTTTTAGTTCATCTAAGAGCTGATTTTTATGCATAGAAGGTTGTGTTTTTCTGGATTTAAATTTGAACCAACTGTAACATCTAGTTAATCATTAATAAATTGAGGAAAATCCTTAATACACATACCCATATGAAACTCATGATTTTTACCATTCATGAAAAGCATCCTTTCCCATCCACAAAACCAAGGCAATGTCTCCAAATGAAACCATATTTCTTCTGTTTTTTAAAAAAATTAATGCCATAAAACCTTGGTTTTGAATCATGCTATTAAATGTAATTAGAAAGGTCCAGATTTCATTGAAAATACAAGTTGTTGATTTTAAGATATATATATATGTGATTGAATTTTAAAAATAGTTTAATTCACACTTTATGAAAATGGCAGTTTAATAAGAATTGCCACAAATGTTTGTCAATGAGAAACAACAGAGTTCTCACCTCAAGAGGAATAAGAGAGCATTTATGGTGGAGCCAAATTTGAGTGACCATAGCCTGGGAACACAGATTTAGGTTACTCTAAATTTTGTGTCCCAATGTGGAAGCAGTTTCATGAAGTTTTTATAGTAACAAACCAAAGACAGTAATAAATCAAGGCACTTTCAAATACATTGGTGAAACTATCACAGGGGTAGTTACAGCAGGATGGAGAAAGCTCTATCGGCTATTGATGCTGTTTGATGACAATGCTAGCTTTGGTAATGGGGGAAGTTAGTGCTCTGCTAAGCTAGTAGATGCCAAAGGCTTTTTATATACGAGTCACAGGATATTACTACCAACACAGAGGTGAGCAAGCAATGTATACTCAGAGGGCTAAAGTTATACAGAGATGAGGTCTCCAACTTCTCCACATCACTGCAAGCCTAATCACTCAATCTATTTTTACAGACAACTTCTTTTCAGGAATTCTCCTTGACACATTTAACAAAAAGTAGCTGCCATATATTTTGATAAGATTTATTAATAACATGTGAAACAATGACACTCTCAGCATATTAATTAGAACAAGAAATACAAACTTTTGTCACTTAAAACACTACCAAGAGAATAACCAACACAAAAACAAATCTGAGACCTACTAAACTATGCCATTTCTGAAGTGTTTATCTAAATTGCTCTATTATCAATAAAAACCCGAGAGTCAGATATTGGAATAAAAACCTGGTAGATCAAGAAAGCCATGGAGGAGCAACCAGATGACCCCCTCTCCACATTTCCCAGATGGAAAAGCCCACAGATCTTTTCTATGCCCCTCCCTACTCTTTCCTTTGCCTCTCTATGGTATTCCTGGCTTCTCTATAGCTAATTTCTGTTGGCTAGTTGCTGACTCCACCCCCTGATTAAAGGTTAACTTTATTAACAGTCCCCGCGTATCAGTGCAATCAATATCCCACAGCACATCTCTGTATGTTGTATAGCAGTTTTCTGAGAGGCAAACCTCCAGTTTGGGGCGGAGGGTTGCATTAAGCTCAGGAAGTAAACAATTTAGAGACTTCAGGAAGTCTCTGAAACTGAGCAATGACTCTAGGCTTCTCCCTCCCCAGTAAGGACTGGGCAGTACCTGGAAGGGCCAGAACAGTCAGCCACCTAGAAGACAAGTGGAGCTGCCTAGAAAAAGCAGCCCAGTCAAGCACTTTGAAGAAACAGAGTTCAGCCAAACTGCTGTAAGAAGACACCAGCTGAACTGCCTGGAAGAGACTGGAAAAGGGCCTTCTCTCCATACTACCGAGCTGTGCAGGCTGTGCGCTGTTTCCAGCTCTTCTGAGTACCACCCAGGCTGGGGCAGGCTCTCAGTGATGCAGCTGTGAGTCTGCTCACCCACATTAAATAACACTCATTAGGTTGGGCTTCAGTGGTATCTTTCCTTTAATTTGTCATTGGCTCCCTATCTGCGGTGAGTAGACATTTGTTTATGTCTCCCCATGAAGAGTGTCACACAATACTTTTTTTTCCTCTGTCTCCATTTAGAATGCAAACTTAAGTTTTAGTATCTGTGCCCATATTTACAAACGTTTACCTGGAAAGAACCAGGAAAAGATAAACATGCCTGACATGTGGCAATAGGCATTTTCCCAGCCCACGTTTATCTGAGTGGCATTGAAAGGAAAACAATTTTCTTATCTTCAAATGACTCACTGTAAGCAATGCAAAAGTCATGTGTGGACATTTACTTTAGAAAATAAGCCATTTCTGAAAGATTCAAGGTACAAAATCAAGTTCAAAGGGCCAGGTTTTTGTTAGTTGGAGTATATCATGAGCTTCTGCCAGATTTCAATGCATGTTGGGAATACAACTGCTTATAAATTTAACTCATTAAAGTTCCATTTGTGTATATGTATTTAGAAACTTCATTAGAAAAAACTTCTCAAATACATAAAAACATCACAAACCAAAATTAACCAGACCAAAAGTCTATACAACTTAATGGAGTTATATACAGTTAGAATTGTCATTAAAATAGAAACTGTGAAACTGTATATTAAATTTGACATTTTCAGTATTGAATATATTTGATATACTCATCCACCTCCAAAACCAAACAATTCAGAACAGAATTAGAACTAGAAAAATAATTAGTTTTAAATCCTCTTTCATAGCTCATGTCCATTACCTACAATGTCAGGAAGAAATAAACCTCATATTCTCGATCCAGTAATATATGTGTATATGTAAAAATATACATGTTGGTATTGTATAGCATGAAAAGCAAAAGGAACGCTAACTACTTATAAGGCGATGAGGAAGGACTGAATGAGTATAGTAGGCATATATTCTAATGGCATCATTAGTGTATCCTCCAATCGCTCATATCACGATATGATAAATGATACGGAAAAAAAAAAAAGAGTTCAAGTCTCACAGTCTACAGTGTTATGACAGCCTTAAAGAAATGGCTTCGGGTCATTGTATCCACTTAGAGACAGTTAAACATATGTCTATCAAACTTCAGCAAATTAGCCATACCCCTTATCCATCCTCAGTGTCCACACTCACCCCATGTTCATTAGCTGCTGTGACAACTCTCAGGAGAATATCTTCATCAACAAACGGTCTCACAGCGTCATGGATAATGACAACTTCTGGTTTAGTGAGCTTACAGTCTGGCTGGTCCTCTGCCAGGGCTTTCAGTCCATTGAAAATTGACCTGTGGCGTGTGGCTCCAGCCTCGGCCAGTGAGATGCGCTTGTGCCCATACCGCTGGATGATGTTTCTCATTGCTTCCATGTTCTCCCTTGTCACTGCCACAACAATGTCTTTTATCCAGCACACTCTACAAAGAAAGCATGTGAGCATTTAATATAAGTGGACTATAAAGCTACTAAAAGAAAACTGAATTCACACTATATTATCTCAAATGGCATGGTGCATAACATATTAGATACATTAGATTTTTTACTTCAATTAAATTTGAACAAATTGTATATCTGTAAATTGTCTGAGAAAACACAAAAAAAGAATATACTTTTAAATTTATATTTTTTGTATTCTATTGAGTTCTACCAGCTGACTGTCTCAAGCTGTCCCCCAAGCTGCAACCAACCACTCAAATAAGAAAACTGACTTCACACAGACCTCCCCCAGACTGAACCCAGTCCATACTGACTGGCTCTGGAATCAGGAAGTTTAACAGGATTGTAGATACTGGCGCTAGCCAACAAGTGACAACAGGGACCTGCATGTTCCAATGGCCCCAAACCAGAAAATGCATCTGGCACACAGTGTCAATTCTGAGTAAAAAAAAAAAAAATCACTTAAATTTTCTAATATTTTATATGCCAACTACAAAAAAATTTAAAATAATAAAAATTAAATAGAATTATATGCTAATAAAATCCTATACATTCATGCAAGAATAGGTAAGTCCTAAAAAACGTATCAAGTGTCAAAATTATAGATAACAAGAAAAGCATTTAACATGTATTATGTACTTCTCATTTTTAATTTGTATGATATTCATGTAATGCCTCTACACCATCTCTGAGAGATGAATGTGGAATATTACTTTATACTGTGTGAATATATGAAACTATGGTTGGTTTAATAAACAATCTGACTGGCTGGGCAGTAGTGGTGCACGCCTTTAATCCCAGCACTCAGGAGGCAGAGGCAGGCGGATCTATGTGAGTTCGAGACCAGCCTGGTCTGCAAGAGCTAGTTCCAGGACAGCCTCCAAAACCACAAGGAAACCTTGTCTTGAAAAACAAACAAAAAAAATAATAAATAAATTAACAAGCTGACTGACCAATAGCTGAATAAGATGAAGCTAGGCTGGAAAGCTGAACAGAGAATGAAGGGAGGAGTCAGCGGAGTTGACAGGAGCCAAGTGGCAGAATGTAAATTAATAGAAATGGTTAATTAAAATTGTAAGAGCTAGTTAGTAATAAGCCTGAACTATTGGCCAAGCATTTATAATTTATATTAAGTCTCTTGGAAATGACTGCTGGAACTCAGAAAAACACAGAAGTATTTTTAGAAGACATTTGTATGACAATTAATAAAATAATACTTCTATAATTTATGTAATAGATCCATACAGTGTCTTTTCTGTCTTTCATAGTATAGAAATATTTATGTCTGTATTTCTATTTTATTCAAAATGAATAAAGATTCAAAAATGCCATTTTTTAATTGACAATACAATATTCCTTTTGTTTTATTTTGAGGGTTATTTTTTGTTTTGTTTTGATTTGATTTGATTTGTTTAATTCATCTTCTGGAGTATAGGCCCCATAGCAACACATATCTCTCTTACTTTATACAAAATGGTCATCTAAGTGCTTATTGAATGAATAAATTGCCCATAGTATAATATCAATATCACACAACACTTATGGATTGGTTTCCTTGATTTTAACCTTAGATCCTAAGTAAGAGGTGTTCAATTACATTTATATTTTATAAGACGTTTCAAAATGACTTAAATGATAAAAAGGACACAATAACATAGAATGCCCAAGAGTAATCTGTAGTCTTTACAGATGCTAAAGACTACAGAATGAGATCACTTGTAAATTGTATCTTGGTTTACTTATCCCATCAGGACACCAATCTCATTCTTGACAACTCTAGAACTTGCCCTGTCCTGGGAGTGTGGAAATTATCCTATTCACAAAGATTAAAGCAACTGGCAAATCACTATTCTTCAGTGCTGCCTCACTGTGGAGTTCTGAAACGTTCTGGCTCAACTCCCACAGCTGTGATCCATTATTCTTTCTTGTAATCTCTTATGTCCAGCACTTAATGCTGTTCTTAATGTCTCCCTATCTTATCTCAGCACAATCTATTCTTGCTATTTCTAGATGATCCCTCTCACCCTAGAGGGATCTGCTACTGGCTCTGGTCCAGGCCTTTGTAGACTTTATTGTCTCCTCCCAGGCCCATTAACAGGCAGGTCTACTCTCTGTCACAACACTTTTACTTTCCTGCCTAGCTGCTTCCTGAATGCAGAGTAATGGGTTATGGGTCCAAAATCCCCCCACAGGCTTATGTATTTGAACATTTGGTTTTCCAGCTGATAGTGCTATTTTAAGATATCATGGAACCTTTAGGCCAAGAGGCTTAGCTAGCATTAATGGGTCACCATGCCTTTGAAGGATAAAACTAAGGCTACATTCCTTGCTTCCAGGATAGCCAGCCCTGCTTATCTTCTTCTACTGCCTTCCACTACTACAGACTGTATCCTTTGCAAATTAAAGCTTCTCCTCACTTAAGCTGATCCTCTCACAGTGTTGAGGAAACCGATATAGAAGGGAACAAGCAGGAGCTCTTGGTCCCCAGACTGATCACTGGGAAACCAGCATGGAACTGATCCAGACCCCATGAATGTGGGTGTCAGTGAGGAGGCCTCAGAAATGTATGGGACCTCTTGTAGTAGATCAGTACTTATCCCTAACATAGGAAAGGACATTGGGAGCCCATCCCACATAGAGGAATACTCCCTCAGCCTAGACACATGGCAGAGGGCCTAGACCCTATCCCAAAGGATATGACAGACTCTGAGGACCACCCCATGGGAGGCCTCACTCTCCCTGGGGAGCAGAAATGGTATGGGATAGGTAGGGTGTTAGTGGGGTGGGACAAGGAAGGAGGGGAGGGAGAGGGAACTTGGTATGACATGTAAAACAATCTTGTTTCAGGTTTAAATTAAAAATGGAGGGAAAAAAGTCAAGTAAAATTTAAAAATACTAATTCATGTAGCAAACATGAAAAAGGCCTATGGTAGCACCAATGCAGGTAGTCAAGTATAATATTGGAGGTTATTTTCCTTGCAACAATAAATCCAATTATTATTGCTAAAATAATGTAATAATAAAAGGACATTGAATCAGAAGGGAACGCATCCTCTTGCAAACATGCCTCCGTGTTGCTCTTGTTTCTCCATTCCGCCCTCCCTGCTCTCCCACCCAACTAACCCAAATCTGAGCCCTCCTTGCTCTCCAGCTGCAAGCACAAACCAATCCAGGAAACCTCCTTTGACTACGAAGCTGATTGCAACCCCCTACCTTGCACTTCCAAAGGATGCATCCCGAAAGGTTATTAAGCATCATGCCGTAGTCAGTAATGTTCTGTCTCCTTCACTAGGTTGTAGGCTCTCAGAAAGACTGTATCCCAGAACTTGGCACATATTTCACTTTCAGTAATATTAGTTCTAGAAACAGCTAAAAATGTGGAATCTTTGCTAGCTTCTGTGGGCTGTGTTGAGAATTTTACATACACTATCTCAATACCCAGCTCTTTGAGATAAATTGCTATGGTCTTGATTTTACTTTTGAGGGCACAGAGATAATGACCTGCCCACAGCCACACCAAAAGAAAATGGAGGCACAGAGCTAAAACCAAACTTTGGAGCTTACATGCTTAACCCATAAAAATATTCCAACACTGTCTCAGAGGAAAGTGTGACATCTTGGAGAGGAAAGGATCATTCTGAATCATTACTATTACTGGGGCGGAAACATATGGCATTGCTGCTTTTACAGTTACACATTTAATTTCCTATAATTTCTAATAACTCCAACAAAGGAAAGTTTACCTTCATCCATGTATTTGCTGGGACATTAAACAAATGTCAATCAAACATCTAGAACAGGCCCTCTTCTAGGCACTATTATCACATATATCACATATGTGAATAAATATTTGCTAACTGAACAAAGACAATGCTTGAATAATTAGGTAAAAATGCTTTTAAGAAATTATGAAGAAAGGGTGAAGTGGTGCAAATCTTTAGTCCCAGCACTCAGAAGGCAAAGACAGGAGGATCTACATAAGTTTGAGGCCAGTCTGGTCGACAAAGAGAGTTCCAGGACAGCCAAGGCTACAAAGATATACTCTGTCTCATTATCTAATGTGGTCCCATATTAACCTCTATATTAAATAGAAGGAATTATAATAAATATTGACCTACATCAGTGGCAGATTTTTTTTTTTTGGTAAAGCAAGAGATTAAATTGATTCCTAAGCTGTTTACCTTTGTTTCTTTCCATTGCATGTTCTTTCAGAGAGTTCAGTTGCAGTAACTTTTAAGAGTTTAATGAAGGTCCTGTGGCAGGTGCCCATGCCTCAGGTGAGTCTGGGTGCTGCTTTGCTCCCTAATCTCCCCAATCAGCCCCTGCTCGCTTCTGCCTGAATCCCCACACACACAAAAATGGACCTGTCCAGACAGGGAAGGCCCACCGTGAGTCTGGACACACACTACCCTTGTCCACTGCCACCAGAGGCTGAGCCCTCCACCAGCGACCAGAGAGAGAGAGAGAGAGACCCCACCTGCACTCACTTGAAGAAGGGATGGGAAGAAGACAGAGTAAGAACATACTCAACAACAGAAAGAACAATATGACACCACCAGAATCTAGGGACTCCACATCAGCAAGATCTGAAAATCCCAACAGAGAGGATGAAGAAGAGATGGACCTCAAAAATTATCTTTAAAAGATGATAGGGACCTTTAAAGAGGAAACAAAAAAATCCCATAAAGAAATAGAAGAAAAAAACAAGCAAAAAATTACATGAAACAGAGGAAAAGACAAACCAAAAAATTCCAAGAAGTAAACAAATCTCTTAAAGATTCTAAAGAAAACCAAGGGAAACAACCAAATAAGTGAAGGAAGCACTCGAAACAATTTAAGGCATGAAAGCTGAAATACACACAATAAAGAAAACACAGAAAGAGGGGATGCTGGAAATAGAAAGGTTGGATAAATGGTCAGGAACTAAAGATGAGAGTGTAACCAATAGAATTCAAGAGATGGAAGAGAGAATCTCTG